TGCTACAAACCTCTCTGAAGTGGGCCAGCGGTGGTGCACGCCTTTAATCCCAGCACTCAGGAAGCAGAGACTAGTGGATATTTATGACTTCAAGGCCAGTCTGGTCTATAGTGTGAGTTCCAGGACAGCCCAGGGCTACACAGAGAAACCCTGTCTCAGAAACAAACCAAACCAACCAACCAAAGAAACAAAACTGGTAAATTTGAATAACATCTAAAATATCCAAACCAAGAGAGAGTATATTGAGGTCAAATTTTCTTAAAAGTAGTCACTACGTTTATGCTTTGTTGATTTTAAGTAAACAATTTAAAATTCCTAGAGTAAAAGAAAACAAGAAGTATATAAATCCAAACCAGGAGTTTAAAATAATGCATGGTTACTTAAATGCAAAACAGACATACACTCAATAATCATCCCCAAAGAAAGCAGTGGCCTTCCTGCAAAAGTAAAAAGAGTAGAAATTGCACAAGGCAATGGAAAGTACAAGGAAGAGGGTAACTTTACACCTGTTACTAAGACGACATTTTACTATACGTAAATACACCAAGCAAACCAGTTAAAAAAGTCAACAGTGCCGGGCGGTGGTGGCGCACGCCTTTAATCCCAGCACTCGGGAGGCAGAGGCAGGCGGATCTCTGTGAGTTCGAGGCCAGCCTGGGCTACAGCGCGAGATCCAGGAAAGGCGCAAAGCTACACAGAGAAACCCTGTCTCGAAAAACCAAAAAAAAAAAAAAAAAAAAAAAGTCAACAGTGACAAAGAATAAAGAATGCAATCAATCCATGGTGGTTGTAGCAAGTAACTCAAATTAATAAACAGGGAAAGAACAAAAGTGAAGGGATCCAGAAGGAAATATTTATACTGTGCATTTTTAGGCAACCTTCATTCTTACAGAAAAGAGAGCTATTAGACATTGAGAGGGTTCCCATAACTCAACAATATAATAATGTTTTGTTGTCCCTACAATAGGTAGCATCACAGTCTATGGTCTAGCCCGGTATGGTGACGTTAAGTCATGGGGGTGGAGCTTCAGGAATGGAATCCACGGAGTTATTAAAAAGACCCATGAGCTGTTTTCCCTTCCTTACACAATACCAGGCTATAAGAAGTCGCTTGTCTGTTTCTGTAAAACATACCCTAGTCAGTTCACACCCTACCAAACCAGCTGCGGTGGAGTGCTACTGTTCCTCGGGGGCTGTGGACCACTGACTGCCTCCTGGCTTGCTCCTGGCTTCCTGTTTTTGCACCTCTTCTGCATTTCCTGCCCTCCTCCCACCCACAGGGCATTCTTCACACAGTCCAGTGATGTTTCACATCACACATCAGAGGAAACCATTCTCCAAGCAACTCCCCTTTGTATTCATTCACACAGCCTCGAAGCATTCCTCAGTGTCCTTCCTGGGCCCATCTTAGCTCCCTCTCCCTCCTGCTCCAGTCTGTGTCCCTTTCTTGGAAGCCACTCACCCAGTCTTAGCACTTGTTCTTTGTGCTAACTAGAGTGTTCTACCCCTCTGGTTTCTTGCAAGGCTAGCTCTACCCTTCTTATCTGCTCTCAGCTCAAATGACCCTTCCTGTAATACCCCCCCTTCCATTATGCACTGTTCATTCCATAGCAGTGGGCACCATCTAAAATTATTTTGCATATATGGTTCAAAATGTGATCATTCTCTTACTGCATAATAAACTCTCCTGTTTTTTCGTGTTCCCCGGAGTGCTCAGGAGAGTGATTGATACACACTAGGAACCCAGTGAATATTTGCTGAATACAGATGACTACATAATTCCCCAGGATATAAAGAGATAATGCACAAATACAATACAAGGGTGCCCCATTGGAGTTTATGCGTTGGAAGCTTGGTCCTCGGTGTATGGGGGTGTGCGAAGCCTCTTGAGATCTGGGCCTTTGTAGGAAATAACTAGCTCGTTTTGATGTAGTTTTTTTTTTGAGAGTCTAGTGGGACCTCAAAAAAGAAAGTTCTGAAAGAGCCAGCCTGAGTCACTCTCTCACCTGTCTCCCCATGTAATTTCTTCCTCTACTCTTGCCAGCAACATACAATTTGAATTTCTGGGCTCACAAAGGGGGAGCTATATAAACCTCTCCTTTATAAAGTACTTAACTTCAGGTGTTTTGTTATAGCAATAGGGAGCTAAAATAAGATGGAATAAATGCTATTGTTAGATTGCTTTGTGAGTCATCATCTCCCGGATGCATTGTTCACCCTTCCTGGCATTCGTTCACATCCTAGGAGACTTAACACTACAACCTCACCTCTGGGACCCTTCCTGGTTCATTTCTGGTAGGGCTGGGTCAATATGGAACACTGGCAAGAACCTCAAGAATCAGAGAGACTAGAGTGCTGACTCCCTATTTGCTGGTCATTTTAGAGTCATAGCCTTGTCAGGAACAGAATTTCCTTGAGATAATCCTCTCTCCTTTTCCCCTGACCCACATTGCGACCCCAACAGCTTATACTAAAGCTCTTTCTACCACCTGTCCTTCCAGGGTGAAAGAAGTTCTTCATACTGCCAATGCCTAGAGCTCTAACATCTCTCTTATACTTCTAACTTCTGCCAAGACATCCATGTCTGTCGAGATCATGATGGGAAAACGTACAGAGATGGCTAGTCAAACTATTTCAAATGCATGAACTGTAGACCAATAGCTGTGGAGCCCCTGTGGGACTGGACTAGGCCCTCGGGATAGACGAGACAGTTGTTGAACTATTTAGGGGGCCCCCAGGCAGTGGGATTGGGATCTGTCCCTGGTGCATGAGCTGACTTTTTGGAGCCCATTCCCTATGGTGGGACACCTTGCTCAGCCTTGGTGCAGGAAGGAGGGGCTTGGACCTGCCTCAACTGAATATACCAGGCTCTGCTGACTCCTCATGGGAGACCTTCCCTTGGAGGAGGTAGGAATGGAGGGTGGGTTGGGAAGGAAAGGCTGGGGGGGGGGGCAGGTGGAGGGAGGAGAGGGGGATCTATGGTTGGTATGTAAAATGAATAGAAAATTTAATAAAATAAATTAAAAAAAGACATCCATGTCTGGCTTTTTATCTGTGTCTTTACTTATTTATGTGTATGAATGTTTTGCTTGCATGTATGTCTGTGAGCCATGCACATGCAGGGCCTGCAGAGACCAGAAAATGGATCAGATCTGCTGGGACTGGAGTGACAGATGGTTGTGAGCCACCATGGAGGTGCTGGGAATGGAACTCTGGTCCTCTGAGAAAGCAACCACTGTTCTCATCCGTCGGGCCGTCTCTCTAGCCCCATCTTTGTGTCTCTTCAGCAGAGCCGGCGGGAATATCCTTGGGTGCCTTCTGCTTGCCCTTCAAGATTCCTGCCACTCTTCTCCCCAGTATTTTGTACCCTGGGAAGCTGAACCATGTAAATTTACCCAATGGAGTCCTCTAGCCGATGGGAGTCAGTTAAAGTGAAATGCCAGCATGAAATCAAAAGGTGCCAAGTGGAAGTTAAGGTACTTACCTCCCTCTCGCTGCTGGGTCACCTCAAACCAAACGCCCTTCCTCTTCATTTTCTTACCTTCTACTGGGAATTTCACTCACACTCTCAGACTGTCCTCTTAGCCCTCATCTCTTCAGGCAGGGAGGTATTGAAAGTCTCTTAATTAAGCTCTCTCTCAGTTACACAGTTTGATGGTGTCATAGTTACCTGCCAGGATGCTGGCCAGTGAGCAAGGCCAGGCTCTGTGAGCACTGAATCAGGTGATGCCTCTCCTCTGGAGTTATCAGTGCATATTAATTCATCTTAAGGCAAAGGACTATGGTTGTTGAAAGGTTTTTGCACCCCGATAGGCCTCTCCACCAACGCAGTGATCCAAGTCAGACCCAATCAGACTGAATTAGAAAAAGCCCTGGTTTAATGGGTAAAGCCAGTTTAATGGGTAAAGTGTGATTCTCCCGCCCCCCCAGAGGGAACAAGAGACCATGGCCACATGGACCACATGTCTGTTTTCTAGGATGCAGCTTAAAACCCTGTGGGAGTGGTCTTGAGCTTCTCTGGGGGAGGAGCTGTGTTTGGTGGGCTTTGAAGGGCAGGTTTGGGGAAAGAGATGGGGGAGGGGAGTTGAGGTGGATCTTCCACCAGAACAGTTGTTACTTATATTCTTTTCTCTCTTCCCAGGCAGCAGTGACTTGGCCAGTCTCAGACAATCCGCACCTATGGGAAACACTGAGGGAAGAGGCCATTCTGCTTTCCACGTGCTTCTCCTATGGCACGTGTCAGCCCTTGAACATCCTCCCATCCCCTTGAGTCACACTTCTCCTTGCCCTACTGTGCTGCAGGGATGGCTCCTATAGGCCACGGGTGGCCATCTCTTAATTTCCTTTAATTGAAAATAAATTTTCTTTCACACAACACATTATGATTATGGTTTTTCCTCCCCCAATTCCTCCCAAATCCTCCACACTTTCCCACCAACCAAACTCCACACCTTTTCTTTCTCTCGTTAGAAAACAAACAGGCATCTAAATAAAAACTAATAATGATAAAATAAAAACAAACTGGCCAGAATAGGAAAAAAACAAACAAACAAACAAACAAACAAATGGCAGAGAAAAAGAGTCAGAAAAAGGCACAAGAAAACGTACAGACACTGAGACACACACATTTGCACAAATAGAAAAAAAAAACAAAAAGAAAATAAAAAACATAATATATAAGCAAAAATTTTAAAAGTTAAATTAAAAATTATTAAAAAGTTAAATTAAAGATTTATGTAAAAAAAATTGTCTTGACAAAGCATTAGGAGACAAAAGCCCTAAAAACATACCATTGAGTTCCTTTTCTGCTGGCATAGGGCCTGCCCTTCAGTGTGTTTTGTGTGTACCCACTGAGACTCTGTTGGATAAAACTCAGTTTTCTTTTGTGAGTGGTTGTCCACTGGAGATAGATTCTGGGTTAGGGATGGGGACTTGGGTCCACTTCCTCCCTCAGAGCTGAGACCCCATCAGTCTTAGACCCCTGTACGCCTCATACATACCGCCACTGTCTCTATGAGTTCCTGTCTGTCAGTCCTGCTGTTTGCAGGAGGTCTTGGTTCCTTGGTATCGTCCATCCCCACAGGCCCATACAATCTGTCTGCCTCAGAGTTCCCTAAGCCTTGAAGGGAGGGATTGGATGAGAGACATCCCGTTTGAAGGTCTCTCACTCTCTGCACACTGTGTTACGTTTCACGCAGACACTTCCTATCTCTTAGTCTACAGCTGTTTCGTGTCATGCTTCACACATTCCTTCATCAGAAAATGGGGCCCTGTAATCGTGAGAACATTCGAGTCATGCGGAACTGGCTGGGTCCTGGCTCTCTCCTGCTGTGGATAGCCCAGCAGCCACACAGCAGCCTTCCACTGCTGAACCCGAGGACCCACACCAAGCAGGTCAAACCATAGCTGCCTTCTCCGCAGGACCGGCGTCTCTCCTTGTGCCATTTTTCTGCACACTGTATCTGCCCCACCGCAATGATAGGAGGAGGTTTCTAGGGCCAGACTGAATTTAGGGGTAAGAAGACAGCTTCCAGGTAAAATATTCTTTGAGAGTGTCCCCACTTCCTGGCAGGAAGCACTGATGGTGGGCCACTTCCTGTGTCACGCCGCTGAGCAACATCCTCCCCTCCCGGCAGCCTAAAACATTTCTGATTGACATTCACACGCAGAACTCAAGGGCTTAATTTAGACACTGACTCCGGAATGAAAAAACATATGCCATGTGCGGATGTTTATAATGTATACTTTTTCCGCACTGAAGGGGAAAAAAAGAAAGAAAGAAAAGACAAGAAAACCCAAGTCACAGGTGCAGCCGGCCCTGGTGATACTGCAAGACGAGAGTTTATGGCTGAGGAGACACACGGTGAGGAAATGGACTCCAAATAGCCTGTTCTAAGCTCTGTCACCCTAGGTTTGAGAAAGGGTGTCCTTTCCTTCAGTTACCTCTATGTATAACTGGGGAAGTGGGTCCTCTCCATTAAGATCTGTTTTGCTTATAAAACAGTAGAAAATTCTCACAGAATACATGACCCTGTCCCCATGCAGGAGCTCCCAGGTTGTGTTGTTTTGTTTTAAGAAGACTGGATGGGGAACGTGCAATATTCGACAAGCCTGGTGGGGACCCAAATTCACACGTTTCTGCCCTGCCATACCTCACTTGGGACTTTCACAAGCACAACGTGTCCCATGATTGCTACGACTAAGCAACATCTCTGCCTTTCCAGCCTAGGAGTGGGTGGAACAAAGAGTCAATGCAACAATGATCTCCCAGCGATGTCCGATGGTCTCATTGGCCAGACAGGGTCTATGCCAGTCCTCTCTGCAAGGGATGCTGGGAAGGTCATGTAGCGATTGCAATCAGGGCAAAACATGGCTTTCGAACCCATACGGAAAATGTGGTCTTACCCTTCTCCTCTTCCATCTTGGGATGGAGCTCACTGTCTGTCCATAAAAGAAGTATGTTACATACCAGACCAGGAGAGTTGACTCTCACTGGCTATTGTGCCTACAAGAGATTTGCATATTGTAGATGGAGGGGGATTGGGTGGATACTGAACAGTAACTTAAATCAAGATGGCCTATCATATTTGACAACGTGTTTTCTCATCTGTATCCCCTACCAACGATTATATCCATCTTTATTGTCATTATAAACTTCCAATCTTTAAAAAAGCATTAGAAAAAAAAGGAAAATGAATAATTGATAATAATTTAACTGTGCTGATGCACTGTAGATGTGTTTGTGTGTCTCTTGCTATTTTGCCAGAGATGTTTGTTCGTGGTATTTGCTGAATTTCATATTCCAATTTTACAATTAGCATACATTAGTCATTCTCTTATTATTAGAGTTTATGACATACATTATCTAGCTAGTAAAATCAATATATTCCCTCTTGTAGGATTACTGATAGACAATGAGATCAAAATGGCAGCTGCCACTGGCTGAGCACTTACTGTGTGCCAGGCTTACTATTAAGCAAATTGTTAGAGAATTTACCTCACTTATTCTTTGCAGCATTCCATGAACAACTGGGTCTTGGTATCCCTCCTAAGAACATCAAGGAAACTCAAGCACAGAGATGATAGATTAAGCTTTCTGAAAACCAACAGTTACTGTTTATTTGTTTTTCAATAAAAAACATGGCCAGGTATGGTGAGACTTGCTTGTAATCCCAGCACTTAGTGGGTGGAAACAGGAGGATCAGGAGCTCAGGGTCACCCATTCTCGTATGGCAATTTCAAGGCCAACCTGAGTTACATGATACCCTGCCTCAAAAAAAACAAAACAAACTGAATAAAATAATAATGTCCATAGTAATAGAGAGTAATCTTGGTAATAAAAGACTAATGCAAGAATGCTCTCCCCCTCTGAAAGCAGCATTCTGCTTCAAACCTTATTACGGAAAAAAAAAATTCTTATTTGAAGCAGGATGACTCATATTTGGAGGATCAAAGTATGTCTATAAAATCACATATAAAGTGACTATTTGAAAACTCTGCTGTCACACTAATGAACTGTGTCTTCTTATCCAATCTGGCCCCTCTATTCTAATCAAATTACTGCTTTGCTCGTAAAGAGCCTTGAACATTTTTAAAATGTTTGACAGTTCTCTCAGTGTCAGCTTAATCATGCTATTTTCTGCTGTGGTTTGTGGTACTTATTAAAATAATGATTATCCGTCATGGAGTGTGAATAGCCCCACCATTTTCCTTTCCGACACAACCTGGATGAACTTGGCATAGGGAGCTCCTGATTATCCATCACACTTTTTAGCAAAAGCAGAGACAGAAGGCAAGGCAAGTCAGTGTTGAGGAATCCAGGGATGTTCTAATGCCGTGGAGAGCGAGTTCTGCAGTGATAACTGAGTGAGATCACCAGCAAGTGATTTAACACTTCAACTTTTTCTTACAAAAAGGGGCCTGGTTAAGGAGATATTGTAACACAAATTGCTAAATGGTCTTATTTTTTTTTATTTATTTATTTATTTATTTATTTTTGTTTTTTTTTTTTTCGAGACAGGGTTTCTCTGTGTAGCTTTGCGCCTTTCCTGGAACTCACTTGGTAGCCCAGGCTGACCTCAAACTCACAGAGATCCGCCTGGCTTTGCCTCCCGAGTGCTGGGATTAAAGGCGTGCGCCACCACCACCCGGCGCTAAATGGTCTTATTAATAAAAAAAAAAAAAAACGGGGTTGGGGATTTAGCTCAGTGATAGAGTGCTTGCCTAGCAAGCACAAGGCTCTGGGTTCCATCCTCAGCTCTGAAAAAAAAAAAAAGACAAAAAAAAAAAAAAAAAAACCCAGAGCCAGATATTGGGGTAAAAGCTGAGAGATCAAAGGAATAGAACAAGACAGCCACAAGTTCTTACTGCTAGGAAATCCTCAGCCCAAGAGAGCTACTTCCTCTATACTCATGCCTTATATACCTTTCTGTGCCCTGCCATCTCACTTCCTCTCTCCGCCCAGCTACATTACTTCCTCTTTCCGCCCAGCTCTATCACTCCCTGCTGTGGGATGGTCTGTATGGCAAATGTGTTGCTGATTGGTCAATAAATAAAACACTGATTGGCCATTGGCTAGGCAGGAAGTATAGGAGGGACAAGGAGGAGAATAAAGCTGGAAAGTGGAAGGCTGAGTCAGAGAGACACTGCTAGCTGCCACGATGACAAACAGCATGTGAAGATGCCTATAAGCCACGAGCCACATGGCAAGCTATAGATTTATGGAAATGGATTAATTTAAGCTATAAGAACAGTTAGCAAGAAGCTCTGCCACGGCCATACAGTTTGTAAGCAATATAAGTCTCTGTGTTTACTTGGTTGGGTCTCAAAGGCTGAGATTTGTCCTGACTGTGGGCAAGGCAGGAAAACTCTAGCTACAACTCCCTGTCTGTCTGTACAGACCTCTGTGGTTAACTAGTGCTGGGATTAAAGGCGTGTGCCACCACACCTCTGTTCCCAGTGTGGCCTTTAACTCACAGAGATGGGGATGAATCTCTGCCTCCTGAATGCTAGGATTAAAGGCATGTGTGTAGCTGGAGTTTTCCTGCATGGCCCACAGTCAGGACAAATCTCTCTCACCTGCCAGTCCCACAGCCGCTCAAACCTGACCAAGTAAACACAGAGACTTATATTGCTTACAAACTGTATGGGCGTGGCAGGCTTCTTGCTAACTGTTCTTACAGCTTAAATTAATCCATTTCCATTAATCTATACCTTGCCACATGGCTCCTGGCTTACCAGCATCTTCACATGCTGTTTCTCATCATGGCGGCTGGCAGTGTCTCTCTGACTCAGCCTTCCACTTCCCAGCTTTATTCTCCTCCTTGTCCCTCCTATACTTCCTGCCTAGCCAATGGCCAATCAGTGTTTTATTTATTGACTAATCAGCAACACATTTGCCATACAGAACATCCCACAGCACTTCCCCCTTTTTTTTTCAAAAAGGAAGATTTTAACCTTAAAGTAAAATTACATATAATTTGGGAATTTGGGCGTAGCTTCTCTTACTACTTCCTGCTGGAGGGGGGCGCTGTATCATATGGGGACACAAAGAAAATTTTAGGATTATGGAATAGTCCATGAGGCTGTATTGTCTGAGCCAGATGCCTTCAAACCATTCTGGATGTTGGATCATCTGGGCCATGGTGTCATCGGAGACCTTCAGAGGGTCTTGGCTGGTCAAACCTGATGTATCTTAATCTGGAACAAATCCATAGCCTCTGGCTTTTGTGTGGGAACAAAAGCAGAGACTCTTTTTCCAAGCAACATATCCTTATATCCAAATTTTGAAGTCAAGGTACCTTTAAAATACACATTTTGGCATAACTCAACAGCTTTTACAATCAAATGTTTTTCTGCAGTTAAAAATCCCAAAGACAACACAATCCAGATTCTCTGTGTGATATTCATCTTTATGTGGCTTATTTTTTATATTAATTTTACTGTCTCTTTAAAGTCTTTATTTTTTAAAACTATGTATTTGTTTCTATAACTGTATATATCACCTTTTTTGTCTCTTTCATGCCTACGTATCTTTTACACACATTTTAAACTATTACATCTGAATCTGTCTTAT